GAGTGGTGTCACTAATTGTCCATTAGGACTAATGACGTTCCAAAAGAAGGACCAAAACTGCCTAAAGGAGGCAGTCTGCCGTGACCGACGAATGTGTACAATGGAAATATCAGCATTCCTTACCGCCAACCAGTGGCGTCCCGAGGCAGGTGCGGGGGGTGTGGCCCGCACCGGGTGACACCGACTGCACGGGGTGACACTGGACCCGCTCCACAAAAAGGTAAGTTGTAAAGCAACAAGTTGTATAGATCCGATCCATCCTGCGGGGATCGTCGGCTTTCTTTACAACTTACCTTCTTGTGGAGCGGGTCCGGAGTCACTCCGTATAGGTTGTATGCTGACGATCCCCTCAGGATGGATGGGATCTGTGGATTGGGGAGCAAAATGGATCCGACTCCGATCCATTATGCTCAATCCGCAGATCCGGTCAATCCTGCGGGGATCGTCGGCATGCAACCTATACGGAGTGACTCCGGACCCCGCTCCACAAGAAGGTAAGTTGTAAAGAAAGCCGACGATCCCCGCAGGATGGATCGGATCTGCAGATTGAGCATAATGGATCGGAGTCCAATGACACCAACAATGGCCACTGACAACGATGGGGCACTATTCCTTCCATTGATAACAATGGGCACTATTCCTTCCATTGACACCAATGATAGGGCACTATTCCTCCCACTGACACCAAAGAATGGGGTACAATTCTTCACATTGACACCAAAGACGGGGCACTATTCCTCCCACTGACACCAATGATGGGGCACTATTTCCTCCCACTGATACCAATGATGGGGCACTATTCCTCCCACTGACACCAATGATGGGGCACTATTCCTCCCACTGACACCAATGATGGGGCACTATTCCTCCCACTGACACCAATGATGGTGGGCACTATTCCTCCCACTGACACCAATGATGGGGCACTATTCCTCCCACTGACACCAATGATGGGATACTATTCCTCCTACTGACACCAATGACGGGGCACTATTCCTCCCACTGACACCAATGATTGGGCACTATTCCTCCCACTGACACCAATGATGGGGCACTTATTCCTCCCACTGAATTCCTCCCACTGACACCCAATGATGGGATGCTATTCCCCCCCCACTGACACCAATGATGGGGCACTATTCCTCCCACTGATACCAATGATGGGGTACTATTCCTCCCACTGACACCAATGATGGGACACTATTCTTCCCCCTGACACCAATGATGGGGCACTATTCCTCCCACTGATACCAACAATGGGGTACTATTCCTCCCACTGACACCAATGATGGGGACACTATTCCTCCCACTGACACCAATGATGGGGCACTATTCCAATGATGGGGCACTATTCCACTAATACCAATGATGGGAACTATTCCTTCCACTTATATTAATGGTGGGGCACTATTCCTCCCACTGACACCAATGATGGGGCACTATTCCTCCCACTGACACCAATGATGGGGCACTATTTCCCACATTGACACCAACAATGGGGAACTATACTTATCACTTCATCTTTTTTTCTTTCTTTTTTTCTATACTTATCACTGACACCAACAATGGCGTACTATTCCTCCTCCCACTGACACCAAAGAATGGGGCACAATTTCTCCACATTGACACACCGACAGGGCACTATTTCTTCCCCACTGACACCAATGATGGGTCACTATTTTTACCACTGACACCAACGATGGGGCACTATTCCTCCCACTGACACCAACGATGGGGCACTATTCCTCCCCACTGATACCAAAGATGGGGCACTATTCCTCCCACTGACACCAATGATGGGGCACTATTCCTCCCACTGACACCAATGATGGGGCACTATTCCTCCCACTGATACCAATGATGGGGCACTATTCCTCCCACTGACACCAATGATGGGGGGCACTATTCCTCCCCACTGACACCAATGATGGGGCACTAGTCCTCCCACTGACACCAATGATGGGGCACTATTCCTCCCACTGACACCAATGATGGGGCACTATTCCTCCCACTGACACCAATGATTGGGGCACTATTCCTCCCACTGACACCAATGATGGGATACTATTCCTCCCACTGACACCAATGATGGGGCACTATTCCTCCCACTGACACCAATGATGGGGCACTATTCCTCCCCACTGACACCAATGATGGGGCACTATTCCTCCCACTGACACCAATGATGGGGCACTATTCCTCCCACTGACACCAATGATGGGGCACTATTCCTCCCACTGATACCAATGATGGGGTACTATTCCTCCCACTGACACCAATGATGGGGACACTATTCCTCCCCTGACACCAATGATGGGGCACTATTCCTCCCACTGATACCAACAATGGGGCACTATTCCTCCCACTGACACCAATGATGGGACACTATTCCTCCCCCACTGACACCAATGATGGGACACTATTCCTCCCACTGACACCAATGATGGGGCACTATTCCTCCCCACTATACCAATGATGGGAACTATTCCTTCCACTGATACCAATGGTGGGGCACTATTCCTCCCACTGACACCAATGATGGGGCACTATTCCTCCCACTGATACCAATGATGGAGCACTATTCCTCCCACTGACACCAATGATGTGGCACTATTCCTCCCACTGACACCAATGATGGGGCACTATTTCTCACATTGACACCAACAATGGGGCACTATTCCTTATCACTTCACCAATGATGGGGCACTTTTCTCTTCTTTTTTTCAATGATGGGGCATACTTATCACTGACACCAACAATGGCGTACTATTCCTCCCACTGACACCAAATATGGGGCACTATTCACACAATTGACCAAACAATGATTTGGGCACTATTTCCTCCCACTGATACCAATGATGGGGCACTATTCCTCCACTTGACACCACGACAGGGGCCCTATTCTCCCACTGACACCAATGATGGGGTCACTATTTTTACCACTGACACCAACGATGGGGCACTATTCCTCCCACTGACACCAACGATGGGGCACTATTCCTCCCTGACTGATGGGGCACACCCAACCAATGATGGGGCACTATTCCTCCCACTGATACCAATGATGGGGCACTATTCCTCCCACTGACACCAATGATGGGGCACTATTCCTCCCACTGATACCAATGATGGGGCACTATTCCTCCCACTGACACCAATGATGGGGCACTATTCCTCCCACTGACACCAATGATGGGGCACTATTCCTCCCACTGACACCAATGATGGGGCACTAGTCCTCCCACTGATACCAATGATGGGGCACACTATTCCTCCCACTGACACCAATGATGGGGCACTATTCCTCCCACTGATACCAATGATGGAGGCACTATACTTATCATGGGCACTATTCACTCCCACTGATCAATCTTTTTTTCTTTCTTTTTTTCTATACCTCCCACTGACACCAACAATGGCGCACTATTCCTCCCACTGACACCAAAGAATGGGCACTATTCTCCACCCACTGACACCGACATGGGCCCTATTTCTCCCACTGACACCAATGATGGGGCACTATTTTTCCCACTGACACCAATGATGGGCACTATTCCTCCCACTGATACCAAATGATGGGGCACTATTCCTCCCACTGACACCAATGATGGGGCACTATTCCTCCCACTGATACCAATGATGGGGCACTATTCCTCCCACTGACACCAATGATGGGGCACTATTCCTCCCACTGACACCAATGATGGGGCACTACTAGTCCTCCCACTGACACCAATGATGGGGCACTATTCCTCCCCACTGACACCAATGATGGGGCACTATTCCTCCCACTGACACCAATGATTGGCACTATTTCCTCCACTGACACCAATTCCTCCCACTGACACCAATGATGGGGACCATACTATTCCTCCCACCACTGACACCAATGATTGGGCACTATTCCTCCCACTGACACCAAATGATGGGGCACTATTCCTCCCACTGACACCAATGATGGGATGCTATTCCTCCCACTGACACCAATGATGGGGCACTATTCCTCCCACTGATACCAATGATGGGGCACTATTCCTCCCACTGACACACAATGATGGGACACTATTCCTCCCCCTGACACCAATGATGGGGCACTATTCCTCCCACTGATACCAACAATGGGGGTACTATTCCTCCCACTGATACCAATGATGGAGCACTATTCCTCCCACTGACACCAATGATGTGGCACTATTCCTCCCACTGACACCAATGATGGGGCACTATTTCTCACACTGACACCAACAATGGGGCACTATACTTATCACTTCATCTTTTTTTTTTTCTTTCTTTTTTTCTATACTTATCACTGACACCAACAATGGCGTACTATTCCTCCCACTGACACCAAAGAATGGGGCACAATTCTCCACATTGACACCGACAGGGCCCTATTTCTCCCACTGACAACCAATGATGGGTCACTATTTTTACCACTGACACCAACGATGGGCACTATTCCTCCCACTGACACCAACGATGGGGGGTCACTATTCCTCCCACTGACACACCAACGATGGGGCACTATTCCTCCCACTGACACCAACGATGGGGCACTATTTCTCACATTGACACCAAAGATGGGGCCACGGTGACAACAGTGGACCATGTCTGTGTAACGTGTGCTGAAAGAACCTGTTGTAGTCTCCATTGAAAGCCGGTATGACAGGGTGACAACACAGAAGCACAACAGGAGGACAGAAGCAGAGCGTTGTCCACCCTCTAACAGGAAGTGCCTAAACAATGAATGTCATGGCAGGATCACCAGTGGTTATTTTTAGAGATGAGCGAAGTATTCAAAAATTCGAATTCGGCTGATTCGGCAAATATTCGCGGAATAAATTCGATTCGAGTCGAATATATTCGCTGCGAATTTAACTTATAAAAAGGGTGTTTCTAGGCTTCAGAGAGCCTTTATATTAGTGCAGAACACTGTACCTTTAATTTAAATGCCCTGGTCCTCTGAGTCTGCTGGGGAAGAGAAATAATACTGTCAGACTCAGTATGACATGCAGATGAGTGCCGTCGATCTTAGAATCAACCGCACACTTCACTCATTTGGCAGTCACGGGGCCAAAACCAGAGTGTGGAGCCACAGTGTGGCGGTGGAGGCAGCAGCAATGGGAGGCCATACAGCACCCTATGACAAAAAATGGAAACCACCACAGTGTGAGGAAACCTGAAAGTGGCACATGGCAGAGTGTGGCGATGGAGACAGCAGCAATGGGAGGCCGTACAGGGACCCATGACACACTCTGCACCTGGCAGCAGCATGAGGAGGCGGTACAGGGGCCCATGACAGATTACGGGCCTGGCAGCAGCATGAGGAGTCGGTACAGGGGCCCATGGCAGATTACGGGCCTGGCAGCAGCAATGGGAGGCTGTACAGGGACCCATGACACACTCTGGACCTGGCAGCAGCATGAGGAGGCGGTACAGGGGCCCAAGACAGATTACGGGCCTGGCAGCCAGCATGAGGAGTCGGTACGGGGGCCCATGTGCAGAATTACGGGCCTGGCAGCAGCAATGGGAGGCCGTACAGGGACCCATGACACACTCTGGACCATGGCAGCAGCAATGAGGAGCGGTACGGGGGCCCATGGCAGATTACGGGCCTGGCAGCAGCAGCATGAGGAGTCGGTACGGGGGCCCATGGCAGATTACGGGCCTGGCAGCAGCACAATGGGAGGCCCGTAATCTGCCAGCACCCTAATGACAAAATGGAACCCACCAGCAGTGTGAGGAGACCTGAAAGTGGCACATGGCAGAGTGTGGCGATGGAGACAGCAGCAATGGGAGGCCGTACAGGGACCCATGACACACTCTGGACCTGGCAGCAGCAAGAGGAGGCGGTACAGGGCCCATGTTCAGAGTGGCGAAGCGTAAGCAGCTTAAATTGAAGGCCATACAGAGGCCTATGTTAAAAATAATAACAATGTTGGGGGCATGATTCATGGCGGATTTAGTCAGTTGTGTCAGGAACTGGTGTGGTTTGAAATCCAGACTAATCCACGCCTGATTCATTTTCACAAACGTGAGTCTCTCCACACTTTGGGTGGACAGTCGTGTCCTCCGCGGAGTTACAATACCTCTGCCGCACAAACTAACGCGCTCCGACCACGCTACTGCATCGGGTCATGACAGCCTTTCAAGGGCAAATTCAGCTAGTTGGGGCCAAAGGTCAAGTTTCGTTGCCCAGTAGTCAAGGGGATTGTCTACCTCGGTTTGGCAGGGTGCTGTCCAAGTAGGCCCAAGCCTGTTGTTTGAGGTCCTGCTCCAGGTCCACCTGATGCTGCTGCTGCTGCTGCGGCTGGTTAGTAGTTTTCCTCACTGCGCTGGTGAAGAAAGCTACTCATCATCGACTGCAGACTGAGGCAGCCGCTGCTGGTGGAGCTGCCACTGCTCCTATGGACACCCCACCCCTCCCCTGCTGCCATGGCAGCGGAACGCGAGCGCACAGGGCCCACAGTGTCTGAGGATGGACGTTGGCGCACAAAGGCAGAGACCAACTGACTACATAGGTGGTTTTTATAGTACGTTATTTTGGCCTCCCTCTCAGCAGGTGTGAAAAAGGCCACCATTTTTGAACGGTAGCGAGGGTCCAACAAGGTGGACAGCCAAAAGTCATCCCTCTGTCTGATGGTTATTATTCGGCTGTCGCTACGCAAGCAACCGAGCATGCTATGGGCCATTTGTGCCAAGGAATGCGAGGGACTCCCCTGCCTCCATCTCCACAGCATACTGCCACGGTGCGTCTGGGTCCTCTGTCTGTCTCCTCCTCCTCCTCTACCAGATGCTCCTGCTCCTCCACTCCTGTCCGCTGAGTGGAAAAACCACCCATTTCACTCAATAATTCCTGAGCACCAATGTCCTCCTCTACCTCCTCCTCTTCTTCCTGTCCTGCCCCCACAGGGGTCATGTGGCGTTGAGATCTGTGCGCCACGTCTACCGCACCCTGACCAGCCATTGTTAACAGCATTTGTTCCAGGACGTGCAACAGAGGAATGACGTCGTTCGTTCATCCCATAGTCCTTAGACTCCTGCCGACTCACGAATAGCGTGGCCTCCTCAAAGGGCCTGAGCAAGCGGCAGGTGTCACGCATGAGCTGCCAATGGCTGACATCTAAGTTACACAGGGGAGTACCTTTATCCGCTTGTAACATCAGGAAATCGGGTGATGAGGCCTTTCGCTGTTCGTAAAGGCGGTCTAACATATGTAGGGTTGAATTCCACCTTGTTGCAACGTCGCAGATCAGGCGATGCTGTGGAATTCCGTTCTGCCACTGCAGCTCAAGGAGGGTGTGCTTTGCGGTGTAGGAATGGCTGAAATGCATGCAAAGTTTACGTGACATTTTAAGGATGTCTTGCAGTGGGATGGTGGATTTTAGGAACCGCTTGACAACCAGATTGAACACGTGAGCCATGCATGGCGCATGGCACAACCTTCCTTGACGCAGAGCAGACACCATGTTCTTTCCGTTGTCGGTCAACATGGTTCCGATTTTCAGTTTGCGCGGAGACAGCCATCTGTCGATTTCTCTGTTCATTACACTCAGAAGTTCCTCCCCTGTGTGACTACGTTCGCCAAGGCATACCAGGTGCAGCACAGCGTGACACCGTTGCGCCCTGCACATGTGATATGCCGGTCGGGGTAATGGGACTTGGCACGGGGGTGGCGGCTGAGGACACGGCGGAGAAGAGGTGGTAGAGGCGGACATCTTTGCTGGACCAAGGACGTGCAAACGTGGAGGCAAAAGCGGCGTGACCTGTCCAAGTTGCTGGTGCGGCTGTGCCGGCACCACGTTCACCCAGTGGGCCGTAAATGACATGTACTGTCCCTGACCGTAGTTACAGCTCCACACTACGGCGCTGCCGAGCGTGCACTTTGGCAGAGACCGACATGCTCAAAGACTGGCCCACCATCTCTTCTACATGTGAATGCAGGGGCTGGCACTGCCTTTTTTGGCGAAGAAATGCCAGCCGGCTTGGCACTCTCCACCGCGGCTCGCTTCGCACACAAAGCCATCATTTCTCGGAAAGGTGCTGAGTCCACCACTTGGAAAGGGAGGGACTGCAGCACCAGCAACTTGGACAGGAGGACGACGTTCAGCTTCTGCACCCGTCGGGTGCGTGCTCGCAAACTGTTGTCTCTTGGAAACGGATTCCAAGAAAGACTGCTGACGGAATCCGTGAAGAGGAGTAGCAGGAGAAGGAGCATCTGAACGAGCGGAAGATGCCAACGAGCGACAACTCCCCTCAGCAGAGGTGTTGGAGCCTTGACTGGCTGATAGAGGGCGATTGACGTCGGGTGACGGAGCAAGTAACGGAGAGGGGTGATGGAGCGGGGGCTGGGGCAGGCAGAACCGCCGTATCTTTATCACGGTTTTCCCAGGCCACCGAATGGCGACGCTGCATATGCTGACGCAACGCTGTAGTCCCAACATGGGCCCCCTGGCCACGCTTGACTTTCTGGCCACATAGTCGACATACGGCTACGTTTACTTCCTCGGAGCGGCTTGACGAAAAATTGCCACAACCGACCGCCGAGTAGGAAACTTTGCCCCCGCTACTCCTCACTGGCTGACTGCTACTTCCTCCGTGCACACCGGCACCACTACTGGCCGTGGTGGTAGGCTGCAGTGGAGCTGGTGCTCTACTCCGTGGCCGTTTGCCTCCACTGACACTGCTGCTGCGACCCTGCTGCCTCCTGGGCAACCCACCGACTGTTTGCTCGCTGCCAAGCTGGCACCCTCTTCTCCTGATGATGCGGAAGCAATAGCCTGATGATTGACGAGGCTGCCAAGTGCGATCAGCCTCATCATCATCAATTAGGGTCTCCGCCTCACTACTAGCCCCCTCGGCTCGCGTGTGGGTCAGGAGACAGACCTGTCTCTAACCGGCTACCGAGCCACTCTCCTCGCCAGTACTTCTTCGCCTGGCTGCTGCTGAAGAGGCGGATGTCTCCCCCCGTTCCTGACCGCCCCTGTTAGCTCTTCCTCACTGTACAGTGGGGCTGAGCCCACAGCATGCGATACTTCACTCGCTTGGTGAGGGAACACCAAAGGACAGGGGCAGGTAGAGGACACGTGATTTCAGTGGGCTTGCTCCCGGGCCATGCCAACTAACGGTTGTGTCTGACGTACCCACCGACCGTTGGCTGTAGGTGTCAGAGGTGACCTGGGAAGAGGAAGACGACCGAGTCAGCCAACCAATCGATGACGGCAGGGTTGTCGGTGGAGACACGACCCGCTGGATGACACCGGGAGCACTGGCCTCTGGCTGCGACTAGTGCTGCCTCGACCCCTTCCTCTGCTGCCACGTCTGCTCGCTCCTGAAACATTGCCTCCTCTGCCACTCCTCTGCGTGTTGTCCTGACATACTCTTTAATTCAACGATTCTGTGTCCCTGAGTAACGATTCCTGTAGTGTGTCCCTGAGTAACAATTCTGTGTCCCTCAGTAACGATTCTGTGTCCCTCAGTAACGATTCTGTGTCCCTCAGTAACGATTCTGTGTCAATTCTGTGTTGTCCCTGAGTAACGATTCTGTGTCCCTGAGAGTAACGATTCTGTGTCCCTGAGTAACGATTCTGTGTCCCTGAGTAACGATTCTGTGTCCCTGAGTAACAATTCTGTGTCCCTGAGTAACGATTCTGTGTCCCTCAGTAACGATTCTGTGTCCCTGAGTAACGATTCTGTGTCCCTCAGTAACGATTCTGTGTCCCCTCAGTAACGATTCTGTGTCCCTGAGTAACAATTCTGTGTCCCTGAGTAACGATTCTGTGTCCCTGAGTAACGATTCTGTGTCCCTCAGTAACAATTCTGTGTCCCTGAGTAACAATTCTGTGTCCCTGAGTAACATTCTGTGTCCCTGAGTAACGATTCTGTGTGTCCCTGAGTAACGATTCTGTGTCCCCTCAGTAACAATTCTGTGTCCCTGAGTAACGAATTCTGTGTCCCTGAGTAACAATTCTGTGTCCCTGAGTAACGATTCTGTGTCCCTCAGTAACAATTCTGTGTCCCTGAGTAACGATTCTGTGTCCCTGAGTAACGATTCTGTGTCCCTGAGTAACGATTCTGTGTCCCTGAGTAACGATTCTGTGTGTCCCTGAGTAACAATTCTGTGTCCCTGAGTAACATTCAATTCTGTGGTCTGTCCCTGAGTAACAATTCTGTGTCCCTGAGTAACAATTCTGTGTCCCTGAGTAACAATTCTGTGTCCCTCAGTAACATTCTGTGTCCCTGAGTAACAATTCTGTGTCCCTGAGTAACAATTCTGTGTCCCTGAGTAACAATTCTGTGTCCCCCTGAGTAACGATTCTGTGTCCCTGAGTAACGATTCTGTGTCCCTGAGTAACGATTCTGTGTCCCTGAGTAACAATTCTGTCTGTCCCTGAGTAACAATTCTGTGTCCCTGAGTAACAATTCTGTGTCCCTGAGTAACGATTCTGTGTCCCTCAGTAACAATTCTGTGTCCCTGAGTAACAATTCTGTGTCTGTCCCTGAGTAACAATTCTGTGTCCCTGAGTAACAATTCTGTGTCCCTGAGTAACAATTCTGTGTCCCTCAGTAACAATTCTGTGTCCCTGAGTAACAATTCTGTGTCCCTGAGTAACAATTCTGTGTCCCTGAGTAACAATTCTGTGTCCCTGAGTAACAATTCTGTGTCCCTGAGTAACATTCTGTGTCCCTCAGTAACGATTCTGTGTCCCCTGAGTAACAATTCTGTGTCCCCTGAGTAACATTCTGTGTCCCTGAGTAACAATTCTGTGTCCCTGAGTAACGATTCTGTGTCCCTCAGTAACGATTCTGTGTCCCTCAGTAACAATTCTGTGTCCCTGAGTAA